GTGTATAAAATCAAGCACCTAGCCATGCAGTCTGCATTTACAAACATTTGTGAAAAAATGGCTCATTCTGAAGAGCTAAGTGAATTCTAAATTCATACTGTGATAGAATGTCATCTTTGCAATAAATCAGTTTGTGAAATTTCATCACTGCTAGATATTCCACGGCCCACAGTAGACCTTCTGTTGTCTCAGAACAGATGGGATAGCCTTCGTTGCCCTTGATAAGCCTTGAGTGTCCAACACCCTGCCGGTTTGTGGTTTGTCCCTTCTCAGACCACTGTTAGTAAATGCTCACCACTTCTGACCAGGAGCAACCCACAAGCCTTGCCACTTCAGAGATACTCATACCCAGCCGCCTAGCAATTTGGCCATTGTCAAAGTCGCTCAGATCTTTATTCCTGTCCATTTCTCCTACATCCAACACACTGACAAAACCAATTTGTCAGTACAGGCAATACAGGCAAACTGGAGAAGAAATTGAGAGAGAAAAAGAGGACAGGTGTAAAACCATAGGCGTAATTTGCGGGTGGGACGGGTGGGACATGTCCCCACCACTTTTTGCCAGGGTCACAAAGTCCTGAATAATTGTTTTAATTGTTGTCCTAAATATTGTTTCCTAGATAAACATTACTTACACTACCAGAATACAACAACAGAAACAATTCTATATTATATTTTTACATTAACAATGTAATCAATATTCTGTTTATTAAAGCCAAGTATGAATCTCATCAAGTTGTTTTTAAGCATTTTACATTTATTCCAAAATAATAACTCAAGGCAGTAACAATTTAAACAATATATTTTATTTGTGAACGTTCAGCTATTCTTTTTAATAGTTAACTTTTAAGTATTTTTTGAATTATTCGGTTCATCAGTCATCAAAGCTCAGTAAATACTGGTCACAGACACAGAGATTTACTTTAAATTTTACCAAGCTGAGTACTCACTAAAAACTCACACAGATCATGTTTTCAGGCCATTTTAAGTCTTATTTTGATGTAACAAAGTGATAATATCTAAGTGTGTGAGTTGTTTACTTACATTCAGACTGATTCGCGAACGCTAAACGTGCACGAACACAAGAGTGAACACAAGATTTATCGCATGAACCAATCACAGCCGAACATAACCAGTCATATCCAATCATATCACGATGGAGGCATTGCCTCCTCTCACGTGACTTTCCCCCATTCATTCTTAATTACCCCCCACCAAACTCACTGCACTTTAGGGGGTCTGTTAAAACTCAATGGGCTCAGTGGAGGCGAGAAAGACGCGGATTCCCGTTGTAACTTTACCTGCTGGTGTCGCGGTTGGACAATGTTTATTTAGAGAAAACAAGTGATTTATACACTTTTTAATGTTATATTTTGTAATATTGGTGTTGTTTTATTTTTGTACTACAATTTTTTTTGTATCATCCAATATTTTGAGGAGACACTGCCTCCCTTGCCTAATCGGAGGAAATGCCCCTGAATATATATATGTGACCCTGAACCAAAAATCGCCTTTAAATTTGTCCTAGTGAAGTCCTTAGCAATGCATATTACTAATGATAATACATTTTTGATATATTTACGGTAGGACATTTACAAAATATCTTCATGGAACATGATCTTTACTTAATATCCTAATAATTTTTGGCATAAAACAAAAATAGATCATTTTGACCCCTACAGTGTATTTTTTGGCTATTGCTACAAATTTACCCGTGCTACTTATGACTGGTTTTGTGGTCCAGGGTCACAAACACACACACACACACACACACATATATATATATATATATATATATAAATGCCAACACTTTATTTTAAGGACCAATTCTCAATATTAACTAGCTTGCATATTACCAAAGACTACAGAAATACAAAGACGGTTCATTTATGAATGAGAGAAACATGAGAAACTGCAACGCGCAATATGGCGGAATAGTCTCGCCTTCTAAATGAAAAAGCCAATCGCAGATTGGTAAAGTCATTGCGTCACTGCAGCGGCCGTTAGAAGCTCCCATAGAAACCTGAGGCTAGACCAGAGATTACTATAGGGAAATGAGAGGGTCTGTATTACTTACTATTGGAGAAAGCGTAATGGCTAACTTGGATCACGTGTCCCTTAGTAACTAATCACATTACAACCTTGACATCATTGAACTTCAGTCAGAGTTGTGCGACACTCAGTCGCCGTTTACGGATACTGAGTGCAGTCTTGTTTAACTTTATATAGGCCTATTCTTGGAAACGAGCTGGCAGCAGAAATCACAGAACAGAATTAAATGTTATCATTTCATATTAAGTAAACGAGTAAACAATTTAATAATGCAATTGAAAACATAAGGTCATTGATATGACAACTAAAAACAACAACAATAATAAAATTAATGCCGCGATTTCAATATTCATAAAGATTCATTTTTAGGTGTGGTCAAAACGTCAGTTTTGTACGTTTAAATGCTGAAAATACGTAAGAATTTGTACATTTAGATGCTGAAAATACATCAGTATTGTACGTTTTTAGTGCCTGTAAAAACATAAGTAAATATACGTTTTGTTGAAACACATTCAAAATGGGGGGGGGGCACTTTAAATGTGGTCACCCTAGGGCACTACACTCTGTTAATCCGGGCCTGAGGTAGCGGTGTACGTTTTCACAGAAAACAATATAACATGGATAAGGAAAACAAAAAAGAAAACCAAATATGAAAGAGAAGGACCAGACGAGACAGAAACAATTGATAATTCACTCAAAACTGAAAATTCTGAATTCATTTACTCACCCTCGTGTCAGTTCAAACCCATAAAACTTTTATTCATCTTTGGACAACAAATAAAGATCTCTCATCATTTCTGTCCATGTCGAGGTTTTCAAGTACTAGTGTGAATAAATATATATTTATATGCAAAGAGACAAGATAGTCTATGCATGACGCTTTATTCTCTATTAAACTCTAGTGCAGTGTGTGTTTCATTCATACTCGAAGCCGGAGGGCGCTCTCACGCTGAAAGTCCAAACCGGATTCATAGAAGTAGCCTATCTTATAAGCTTAATAAAAAGCAGAAACTTAAACACAATAAACACACGATTGCAACAATATATGCTTTATGTATGTTTTTCAAATCATCTCCAGGTAATACGTAGGAAAATACAGAATAAAATATTATGGAATATAAATTTGCTCTGGAGTGTGACGCACTCACGTTTGAGCTAATTATGTGCTGTATGTAATTTGATCAATGTTTATATGTGAATAAATGCGTAAATTAAAATCTGTTTAACACATAAAGCGGCCGGTCATGTCTTGTAGAAGACTTTTGTGTAACACTTAAGGTGACATTTTCCAACCCTTATGTTATACTTAGGAAAATGACAGTTAAGGGGCTTTATGCAACACTTAATCGGTTTCAAGGGATACTTAAGAGAAATTATAAGGGTTTATGACGTTTCACCTAAAGAAACACTTAACCCCTTCAGACCTGATTTTTTTTCACTGAACAAAATTTTTTTTATCCACTTGATATTTACTCTTCTCCAATATATAAATAAGTCTAAAAAACAAGATTTGTGCCAAATCATTTTTTTATTAGATTTTTTTCATGTCCACTTGTATTGGTTTAAACAAAAAATCATGTGATGTCCATTTCAATGGATGCAGGGTCCGAAGGGGTTTTAAGTAACATTTAAGGGATATTTTATGCAACGCCCTTAAGTGTAAGGGAAACTTAAGGGCGATCTTAAGGGAAAATTACACTTAAGGTGCTTTATGCAACCGGGCACAATGTCTTAGATGAGCTGCGCGAAGGCATTGCAAATATGGCCGCCGAATGAACAGACTTTCCTTGAAAGGGACTTTGATATTACTAGCATATTGGCTGTTTAATAGTACTTATAAAGCACATATTAATGCCTTATTCTGCATGACCATATTTTAGATCCCATAATCCTACCCCTTACTACCTATTAATAAGCAGCAATTTAGGTGTATATTGAGGCAAAATTCGTAGTTATTGTTAATAGTGAGAATTTGACCTTAAAATAAAGTGTGTCTAAAATAGCTTTTATTTCTGATATACACAGATATACACATATGCACAGACTATATTAATGTGACTTAAAACAGCATGAATGCAATCAGACTACATTGCTTGGTGGAAGGATTCTTTATTTCAGTTATTCCTATTAACAAATGCTTGCACTGAATACTTTTGTTTTTCTCCATATTATTGTAGATTTCTTGTTAATACTGTTGAAATGTCAGTTTATGATAGGAAAAAATAGGATATGAATCGGGGG